AGAAAAGGGTTCATTATTTGAGATGTTTTTATTATGATAAGTTGCTTGTTAAAAGGAGCTGAGTCTAGATAAGCCTTTGACCTATAAGACTAATAATGTTATGTGATAAAATCACAAACCCTTTACTGACTTTATTTTATAGAAAAAGTATATGTTTTGGTAAGTTATTAGTTTATTGGAAGCTAGATTTTATAGAGAAGAGAATTATTGTTGCATTAGACGAGACATAAATTGATTATATATTTAAACAATTGCTGAAAAAAGGCGAGGAATCACTTTTATCTTTTGGCATCTTTTCTTCCCTTTTTGTTTTTTGGAGTTTTTTTGTGTATTTTTCTAGCTTTCTTCCTAGTAAGCAAAAATATCAGAGTATTTAAGACACAAGGTCATAGCTAGTTATGGTGCTGTGCTCACATTGTTGGTGTTTTCAGATATGGCTATCCACTCCTACAAGTTAAAATATTTTCCTATAATGCCACAAAGGGAAAAGAATGTATGCATTATTAATTTATAATGACCTGTTTGTCTTAGATTTTTAAAAATCAGATGTAATTCTTTTTTAAAAAATATTACCCAACCATAACCCTGTTTTCAGTCTAAGTGAATGCTTTTCCATTCTGTGGACACTGGCCTGGAAATAATCAAGATGTTCTTGTGATGGATGTTATCTGTGGACAAGGGAATACTATAAGTCTTATGAGATATTTCCCTCTAGTGATCTACAGAAAGCAAATTCTTCTACGCGTGTACATTCCCTGCCTTCTTTTAACACAATCCTGCTTACAAGTCACAGAGACAGCAGATGAACTCTCAAAAGGTGTGCCTTTGCAAACATACCCCTGATACATGGTTCATGAGGTTGGCATGGGACATGGTGGCAAGGACAAAGTCAGTTCGTGAAGTCCATGTGTTTACAGCTCCATAGAGAATGCCCTCAATGTACTCAAAGCGATATTGTATACTATTAGAAAACTTCAGATTGCAACTGAGGAACGATTCTGCACTAAATTTGCACATTTTGTGCAGAAAACATTTATATGCTTCCTATACAGAAATCATTGTTTCTTATCTTTAAAAAGAATTAATTTTATGTAGAATAAGCTCTGAATAGCATTTGACTTGTCATGGTTCCCAGATATTCCACAAGCATATTTTTTCAATCTTCTTTTTTCAAATATTTTCAAATATTCCACTTATTTCTAGTAATGTTTAGATCACTAGCCAGCTTTTTCTGATTTCTTCCAAAGGCCTTGCATGGCCCAGTAGCATGTTGTCAAGTTTAATGATGAGTATAGTTAAAATATGTATGTAGAAAAATCAGTTAAATTACTGGGTGGTGTTATACAATCTAATCTTAAAGAATCCAGCTCTAAGATTGATATGTCAATCCATAAAACAATTAAAGTAGATTTTGCAATGTCACCAGAAATGTTTCTCTTGGGTATTGTGGATAAAAAATTGGATGGTAAGTATGGGTTACCTCTTCAGTAGATGATATCAGCAGCAAGATCAAACTTGGAAGCAGACTAAAGTGCCAAAGATGGATGAATAGATTGTTAAGGTTTCAGAGTTAATCCAAATTGCCAAATTAACATGGGTTTTAAAAGCTAAGCCAATTGAAAGGGATATTTTGTTGTTGTTGGAAGAATGGAAACTATTTATGCACTTTTTGAGCAATATTAAATCTTTGGATATAAACATCTATGGTTACAATTGTTAGTAATTACCAGGATTATTTGTTGGAGATGTGCTGGCAGAATATTTTCTTCTGTTTGGCTTGCTTTCATTACAGTTTGGATTGAAGAGTCAGAGCTCTTTTGTGCGTCAGTTAATTAGTGTTTAGTGCTTTAATATTGTGTTTTAATTTAAGTTACATTTTTCCATTTCTTCTTCTTCCTTTTTTTGAATGTACATTGTGAATTAGATGGCTTATGTTAAAGATAATCAATTTAATAAAAGGAAAAGAAGACTGGATATATATGCAAAGCATGACCTTACTTTTAATTAGAAAAACACTAATCCAAATGTTAGACATTTTAGAAAAGCACATTGGGATGGCTAACATTTTCTCATTGCTCTCTATTCATGTTACCAAACCAGTGTTAACTTATTCCTTTTATGTTAAGGCTCACTCGAAGACAACATGGAAAACTGACTCTTCTTTACATTTATTTACAAAGCTGGAGGTGAAGAGAATGTCTCCTTTTTACACTAACAAGGGAGTAAACCATACTATCTTGCCTTCTAAGATACAAAAACTCCTTATGATCTGTCACTTAAATTTTGAACTCACTTTGCAGCAATTAATGTAAGATAAAAAAAATGTGAGAAAGAGGGAGAAGGAGTAAGAAACTGGGACATTTTAAAAACAGCTGAAAAAGTGGAATAACAGTGAATTTCTTGGGACTGTCTTAAGTTCATTGTCAAGTCTATGGTACCTGTTTATCTAAGTAAAATTTCATACAGATGGAAACATCCTCAAAGAAAATAAACTTCAGATATGCAGACAAGTAGAGGAAAGATCCTCTACATCCCTAACCTTGTATCAGACTACTAGATTTTCAAGATGAAGGATTCTCTCTCAGTACGTTGCCTTCTCGACTATTTTCTATTCTTAATCTTTAATATAAGGTGAATGTTCAAAAAATGAACCCTTACCTGCAGTGTGGGGGCGGTGCTATTTATTCTACCATTTAATTCTGTTGTAAGTGCAGACCAGATCTCTGTGGCTGCATTTCTACATACTTTTTAAAATGCTGCTAAGTTTAATAAAAAGCAACTGGGCTTCTTTCCAAGTGGATGTGTATTACTTTTTTGTGCCAGTGTGCTGTGTTAACTGTCATGTTTTTTGGTTTGTTTTACTTGCTCACATCAGTTAAACTTATCCTCCCAGAGGAAATAATGAAGGTAAAAATATAAGAAGAAAGGGTCAAATAAGAAGGAACATAGCAAAGGTCTTTGAAAGGTAAGATATGTCAAACTAATCTGGGGGAGATAATTGGTTTTCTGGACAAGGGAAAATCTGTCAGTTTAGTCTTCTCACATTTTAGTAAAGCACTTGATATTGTGTCATATGGGAGATCATGACTTAAATTGGAAAACATGGCCTACAAGGTAATTTTGTAGATACATATGAAACTGGCTAAAAACAAGACACAAGGGGACGCATAGAAGGGCCCTTTAAATGCTTCACATGGGCATGTGGTGAACACATAAAATATCAGCTCTGGAAAACTGATTTGCAATTTTAATTTTGGTCTGGGACAAGTAAGAGGCTGATAAAAACAAATCACAGCTGGAATATGATGATGAAATTAGGAGGCATAAGTAACAAAATGAGGGCTATAGGTATGAATGAGATGCACAAACTACTCATCAAGAAACAGGCAATGGGAAAATGCCCACCCAACTGCAGTTATTTGAATGTTGACCTTTCAAAAGCCAGTTTGTGTGTGGAATCACATGTAATCTCAAGGCTCTCTTGTGCCTTCTTCCCACACCCTTCCTCTTCTAACATCCCTCTGTGTGTAGGATACATCCTTCCCACCTTCTTAATTAGTTTGCATAGTCCCATCCCATGGTACATATATGTTCCCTTTAGATTTCAAATGCCTCTTCTTGTCCCACTGACAGAGTAAGTAGGTGGACTGCCTGGAAATATCAGACACTTAAGTCCAATTTAAGACTCCAATAGGAACTGGAATCTACTTTAAAAGTAAAGGTAAAGGTTTCACCTGATACTAAATCTGATTGTGTCTGACTCTGGGTGGTGGTGTTCATCTCCATTTCTAAGCCAAAGAGCTGGCATTGTCTGTAGCCACCTCCAAGATCATGTGTTCAGCTTGACTGCATGGAGCACTGTTACTTTCCCGCCGAATTGTATTTATTGATCTACTCACATTTACATGTTTCCAAACTGCTAGGTTGGCAGAAGCTGGGCCTAACAGTGGGAGCTCACCCCACTCCTCAGTTTCAAACCGCCAACCTTTTGGTCAGCATGTTCAGCAGCTCAGCAGTTTAACTCACTGTGCCACCAGGGGGTTTCGAATCTACTTTATGTAATATAAAATATTAAAAGATAAACAGAAACTGAAAAAACTGCCTAGTTTTACCATTTTGGTTTTTAAAAATGTAACATGTCACAACTCAGACTAAAGAAAATCAGCAGCAGAACCCCCTCTGAATTACAAAACAAATAGTTGTATTACTAGATCAATTAGCATTCAAAATGCAAACCATCAAAAAGTTTACTAACCAGAGTAGTTTTTAGAAAGTGATGAAAACATATTAGAGTTAGTCCAAAACAAATATAAAGAAAGAATTCAATGATCTAGTAATAATAATAATAATAATAATAATAATAATAATAATAATATTTTATTCCATTTTTCTTCCAGAAAGAGGACTCAAAGTGGCATACAGCAAATAAAGTTTAAAATGTTACATAACATAAAATACGATCATACACCTCAGCATATATAAAATTAACAAATTAGAACAATTATCAACCCTCAAACCTTAAACAAATGACATACAACATAAAATTAAACATTTATTATTAAAAATTCCTGTAAAGTCTAATTCCTTTAGGCCATAAACTTCACAGAATTGCACATTACAGGCAAATAAACAAAGCAAAATAAAAAAATCACCCTTGATTCTCATAGAGATCTAACTTTGTGTGAAAATGAGAATACATAGAGCTGGGAATCCACCAATAAGATCAATAAGTATATGATCATACATATTAAAAATGTTTTTCAAATACCTCGTACTCTAACCATTTGACCCTGATATGATTAGAGAGCTAGAAATAGACAGTGCTCGAGGAAAACACATCATTTCAAATATTTCATACAAAGCTAAAGATGTAAAGTAAACTGGATGATTTGTTTTTCTCCCATATTTTCTAAAATGCTTCGGAACTAGAGAACTGGAGAGTAAAACACAAGGAAAGTCTAACATTGGCAGTGACATTTTATACAATTTTAATGTCTCACCTTTTCTCCTTTTTGGCCTGGCAAACCTGATACACCTGGCAATCCTACTTCTCCCTGTTTAAAATAAAATGATAATTATCCATTCTGGAATATTAAGTACAAGAAATAAAGAAAATAAAATGTTATATTCTGTGATGTAGGGATGGGAATCACATAACCCTCCAGATATTGGACTGCAACTCCTATCACATTCACTGATGGCTATGACAGTTAAACTGGGAATGTGTAGTCCAACATCTGGAAGGCCACATGTTCCCCTGCCTTACAGGGCCAGAGCACAATATATCTGATAGTTATTTTAGAGGAAATTCACAAGAGCAGAGAAGCTCAATTATTTCGTTCTTTCAGTCTTGTTTAATTCTAGGTCAACCACTGCCTATGTTATTGGAGAAGGAGGTCATGACTTTGGGTATCAGCAGCTGTTAACAACAATCTCCACTATTGTCTCATGTTTTTTCGTCTCTTCCTTAGCACAGCTCCTATGTATTACAGCTATTACTAATGACTTTCTTAACACAATGCCACCACTTTGAGACACATCCAATGTCACCTCATTTTGGAAGGTAAACAGGTTTGAATCAGTTTAGGCCTTAAATGGGGGAACCGCAAGAAGAGCTAGAAAAAGAATCTTCTCTTAAACTGTGGACAGCCACATCAATCAAATTTGCTCATACAAAGCTATCAACCTGATGCACTAAAAGGCTGTGTTCCTAGTCAGACAAGAAGTTGTCTTACTTGAAGACTAGTGGAGGTGTAAAGGCTGCCAATGTCACAAAGTTCATTTCTCCTTATAAAGAGGAACCTCTCTTGATTCCTATGCAATTATTTCAAGGGAATCAGTCATGTTCTTTTTTAGAGGATTCCTCAATCAGGATTTCACTTCTACCATCTCAAATTTGCTTTAGGTGCATGACAACAATAATCTCAGCTGTCTGACAATAGGTCAGTATAATAAAGAGAAACTCATATCATTTTGAGTGATGCTTAATGATGTCTAGAGCATTATTATTTCAATATTACATTTCAATCCCTTTCATTTTGGCCCCTGCAGTCAACTGAATTGCATACTATTGTATGTTATATTACTGCTAGTGCTTAAGCCTGATGCAAACAGATACACACAGCACCAATGTGTGGTCTGTACTAATCTTTCCAGGCCTAAAAATGTTAACATTTTATGATGTTCTTTTTTAAAAAAAACTGAGAGGTACAAAAATAAATTTGAAACTGATGCTGGAGAGAAGTTGGGGGTTGAAAAATCCCTCAAGTCCTTCCCAGGTTAACACATAGGTTTGCACATGTCTAAGAGCCAATCATGTACAAATTTTCTAAAAGCATATTCTTGCTGTTTATCATGTTCATTAAAAAACACATTATTTTAATTGGCAGTCCTAAAACAGTCATGCCAGCAGGCTAGTTCGTGAGTCCAGCTGATCTCCTTAGGAAATCAGACAGTTTCTCTGAACAATACCAGGCAATGATTCACAACTGGTTTCTGTTATGATGACAAACATACACAGAACCCAGCCATCTCCTTGAAATCTTCTCATTTGTTTATTTCTACATATAAGCATGCATGCAAACATGTCTGTCTAAGCTTAGTGTCTCTATATTTTACCCCATTCATCTTTAAATTACAACAGAGGTGACTAGATTTGAATTTAGGGAGCCAATAACCACTAATAGGGCCAGAAAAAGACTGCATGCCTGATTTAAAAGTTGCTACAGTGGTGCTGTTTCAGAACCTTTTGTCTCTTATATATTAGGGGTGGGAATATATATGGCCCTCCATATATGGACATAAACTCTCAGCATTTTTATCATTAGCTATGCTGGCTGGAGCCACTGGGACTTGAAATACAACATCTTCTGGAACTCTGCACATGTGCTGAATTTAACTCTGTTTCTTTTGTTCTCATCCAGTGCACCAGTTAAATTTACACCCTCACCCAGGTCTTGTGTTTCACATAACAATGAGATAAGGATCGTCACACACTGTGCAGGTTCTCAAACTATCTATTTCAAGATACAATCATTCATACTGTTCAGAAGATTCATCTCTGCAGGAAACCTTGGAGTGACATTTATCCAATCAACATGAAGCGGTTCAAACAATCCTTTATTATAGTATTTGCCTCTTTGGTAGACTTTTCTAATCTTTCTTAAAGCTGAACATCCATGCTGACATAAGGGTTTGACAGCAGAACCCTGAGTTTCTAAGTGGCAACGTTTGTTTAATCAAGGCTGTACATCTGTCTTGGCTTTGTACCATTTAAAAAAACACATAATTACTATAGCCTTTCCAAACTAATTTATTATCCAATGTGCCTTTAGCCAGTTTAAATATGAAAAGTCAATAGAAAAAGCATAATGTTCTCTTGTGCAAGGTAACATCCAGCCCTCTATTTGCAATTGGACAACTACTCCCAGCATTCATCACCATTATTTGTGGTTGGAAGGGCTGGTAGCTCGAAGGCTCTGGTCTGAGGGCTGGCATGTCTCTTATGGATCGGCTGCAGAAGATCAAAACAGGTGTGAGTGGCAGCAAAGAGGGTGTAGGGCTGAGTCTGGCCCTGCTTGGCTGAGCACCCAACAGGTGCTAAAACACACAGAGTACCAGTGGCTCCTGGGAAGGGGATGCCCCAGGAGAGGATGGCGGGTGAGAGGACGCGAACCACTGCAAAATCCCTGCCTGTTAAGTTGGGTAGAGCATTTCTTTTAAGCAATGGTACTTGTAAGAAGAAACAACCAGGTATTCAAAGCAGCATATCAACACTATAGAATTAATGCAGCTTGGCAGCACTAACAGCCATGGAATTTAAAGTTTAAAGTTTGGTGAGGAACCAGCACTCTTTGCAAGAAAAGGTAAAGACCTTGTAAAATCATGTCTGATGATTCCATAATATTGAGTTATGGCTATTATAGTGGTGTAAATACTACAGTGTTGATGCACCCCAACCTTAACTGGTCACACAGAGGCTGGGTGTAAAGAAATAATTTATATACCTTATTTGGATGGCAAAAGCATTTTTCTTCAGGTTTTTTTTCCATCATGGGAAGTGCATGTATTTCACCAACAGGAGCAGTTGATGGTGACACTGTAGTCGTTTTCAAGCTTTCTTCCAAAGAACACTGAAATCATATATTATTCGGACGTCATTTAACTTCATCAAGAGTGAACAAAATGTATATTTTTTGCTTTGTTGATGCAAACATAAACAAAATATTAAACTGAATTAAACATCAGGCAATGATTCTTTTAAAAACCTGCTATTGAATCACAAAGCAAAGCTATGTTACTTACTGTAAAGTAGTTCTATGAGTTTATCAAAAGAGACAGGAAAACTGCAATTACAGCAGGACAAGAGCATCTTTGCTTTTGAGGTTTTACACACCATTGCCCCTTTCCTGTTCCCTTGATGGTAAACCGCCTGGAAAATGTTTCTTTTACTAATAATTCATTAATGACCTCCTTTTGGATAAGAAGCATCTTCCAATGGTTTTCCACAACAGGAGTGATAAACTCCCTAAGTTCAATGGCACTTACTGATGAATAAGTTATTTAAAAAATTAGCCTAGAAAGTTTGGGTGAATGTATGAGCTGCTCCTTAACTCTAATCAAAGCAAGGAACAATCTCCTACTTTTTAAAAAAGTAGTGAAGGTGAGACCCCAGTCCATCCTGGGACTATTGACCTTCTTTACTGTCTACAGTCTTGTGCCACTTTTGGTCTTTTTGAATGCCTGGGTGGGAAAATGATTCAGCAGCAGCAGCAGCAGCAGAACTCTTTGGCATTTCCCCCCAAAGGAGCATTGAAAGTACAAGGGGTCAGTGCTTCTTTTAGGCTCTCCTGGGACAGACTAAGTTCTCATTTTTCACCACTCTAATCGAGGAAGGGGGTGGCTCTTTTTTATTTCATAAGAGATAATAATGAACCTTAATGCTTATTAAAAAAGAGGATCCATCCCTTTCTCTGAGTGGCAAAATACCCTCTGAATGCCTAGGTGAGAAAATGGTGGGCCAGTTTATTTATGGGCCCTTCCACATAGCCCTATATCCCAGAATATCAAGATAGAAAATCCCATATTTATCTGAGTATGGACTCAGATAACCCAGTTCAAAGCAGATATTGTGGGATTTTCTGCCTTGATATTCTGGGATATAGAGCTGTGTGGAAGGGCCTTAAGCTTCTATTTCAAAGAACAGAGTATTCCAATGACACTGAACGATTTGTTTACATGTCTATATGGGCAAAGAAGCTGAACTTGGGGATTTATATTTAAACAGAATGAAAGCAATGGCATATTGAGGCCATCTGTAACCTAACGTATCATCCCCCCCCCCCCCCGGCCTGGTTATGGATTGTATCAATATCTCATTATGGTAATTCCTTTAATATCTAAAGGACTAGTGAAACAAAAAGATGGTATCCATTTCTATTCTTAGAACTTACCATATTCTCAGAAACTTCACAGCAAGTCTCCTGATCCGCAAGACTGGGATTGCAATACAAGATCATGTGACCAAGTTCAATCTGTTTAATGAACACATGGATGTTATCAGCTGTGTAAGACATGCAATACTGAAACACCTGAAACTGCCCTGGCCACATTCAACACAGAGTTTAATAACTTTCACTATTTACATCTGCCTAATCCTGTTCTGAACTGTGGCCATAACTTTTAAAACATGTAATCTAGCAGTACAGTCCTTTCTCAACAACACCTATGAAAATTATACTCATTTTGCTATCTTCTTTTTCTTCCTCAATTTGCTTTGTTTATTCTTAATGATGTAATCGTTTCATCTGATCTACCACATGGCATTGTCATGCCTGCTCATTAACTATAGGTTTCTACACTGGCCATATATAGATATCATCCATTAGCCTGATTCCTATTGATTACATATTGAATTGATTTCATTTAGCTTTAGTTATCCTGTATAATTGTAGAACCACTTGGATGTCTGCTGGCCATTATCACTTATGATAAACAAATATATTTCTGTTTGCTTATTATGCTGTTTTATGAATTTTAAAGTGATATATTTTAACTATGTTGATCAGGCTGCCCCAAGTCCCTTCAGGGAGATGGAGGTGGGGTACAAAAGCAAAGTTGTTGTTGTTGTTGTTGTTGTTGTTGTTGTTGTTGTTGTTGTTGTTATAATACCAGGAAAAGAGAGAAGGTAAGGAGAACAAAGTGTAGGGTTTGTGAAGAAGTGTAATTTTTTTTACTCTAACAGCTCTTTTTTAAGATTGGGATTGATGCAGGAAAATATTCAGTGTAAATCAAATCACATGCATACAAATAAAAGGCTAAGATGCCTGTTTAGCATTTGAACTGAATCACCTCTGCAGCAAGAGATATATAATTTCTTTTGCATTTGTGATTGGCTTATTGGAAATACATTGATCTAGATCTGAACTTCTTTTATCCTCCTTGATGAAAAATAGCTGGCAAAATAATCCTTCCCCTCCATCATTCAAATAACAAGTGTTTGCTTGCTGTAGAAAAAAAAGTCTATAAATGCTAATTGTTTTGTGATACGTTTGTTAGCTCAAGAGAAAGAAACCAGATGGAAAGGAGTCATTGATGGCATGTGGACAGAGGAAAAGGGCTTGGAAACAAAAGGAACGTGACAATGTTAAGGGCCCTGGGTGGGAATACTTTCCCTCCCATGAAACAACTAGAATAAAACCTACACATATGGAAAGGATGGGCCAACACACAAGAAATATATGTTTTTCGTGTGTGTACGGACATGTGGCATGGGGGTGTGGGTGCACTATTAAACCAAAACATTCACCACACATGAAAAGTGCTTCAGCTGTGTGTGCATTAAGCAGAGTAGAATAAAAATATTTTGAAACGTCTTTTACAACCTGATGCTAAAAATACTTTTTGCAAGTTTTGTATGCACTCTGCAAATGTAAACTATACAATGTCTATTAGTTTTTCTCAAGCTTTTTACACCAGAGGAAATCTTACAATATTTTTTAGGTCTCAGAGAGCCCCTAAATAAAAAAAATATTAAATGTATAACTGACTTTTATTTAACCACAACCTTTTGCAGAACTCCTCCAAACTACTTCTGCATATTCAACTCAATTTTTAATATCTGGAATAAAATGGATGAAGAGGGGATGGAGAAGAGAGGTACTTGGACATTTTAAAAGCAATCAAATAAATGGGACATCAGACAATCAGGACTACGACTGCAAATTCAGGACAGGTGGACATGGTGGGAATCACGATGACATCATTACTTGCCTGTAATTCCCAGCATTCTCCACGACTAACTACTCTAGCTATGACTACTGGGACTTGTATCTGGAGAACTTCATGATTCACACTCCTGTCCTACAGGATGTCCTCTTTGTTCCAAGATCTTTGTAAATGATGATTTCATATATTAGATACAAGTTTATTGTTTTTACTTGTTTTATATTTATATTAATGTTTTAATTGTAAATAAATGAATAAATAAATAATATTGTTTTGCAAATTCTTGCTATGAGTTTACAAATATGTTTTAAACACGCTGAAAGGGATTCAGCAATTCTGTTTCAAGAGGCAACCCTAATTTAGTGGAGGCTCATACTGGAAGGAAGTAATTTTAACCACATTTCCTTTTATATTACTTCTCAAACTAATCAGGAGGTTCTTCCATAGCAGTTCCATGGCATCTTTTTTTGATGGTACTGGAGGGAAAATTGGAAAGGAAATGCCTCCTCCCTTTCTCTAACAAAGTCGCCATTGACATCCCACTCATGGGGAGTCTGGATCCAATCTATATTTTCTGTGTTATTAAAAAATGTTTCACAATGCAACTTACGTCTACAGGCTTGCCATCTAAATAGCGGGTAGCAATAAGAATCTTCCCTTGGAAGTCAGCAGTAGCTATTTCATCAGTCTGCCTGTGCTCAATTAAACTGCAGTCCACATACAGGGAAACCATCCTCGGTTGTACGCTAATGCTGAGTTTGTGCCATTGCCGATCAAAGACTGAATGTATTTCATGGCTTTTGAAAGTGTAGCGCAGGGAGTGCCCTTGGGTGGATTGTGCAACATACTCTACAACCTTCTTTGAACCATCAACAGTAATGTAAACCTTTTAAAAAAGATAGAACAAAGTTTTTAATTAATAGAAGTTGTTCCAAAGCAAATTAAATTCAGCATGTAGAAAGAAAACAGAAGCATACATCTCATTATATATTGGGTGAGATCAAGAGAATTGCCATTCCACTTGGTCAATGGGACTTTTATGTCTCTCCTTCCCATTGCAGGTGCATTTAATCATCTACCAAAACCACCCCTGAAGGTCAAGAGTCAGGCATGTAGCCGGGGGGGGGGGGGCTTGGGGGGCTTCAGCCCCCCCCCCCGAAATTCTCATGGTGGTTCGCGAAAAGGCCTTACTGGTGCATTATTTAAACTGTTATGTTTATTCATATCATGATCTGATCACCATAATCAATATATCCCATATGCATGGGGGTATTGGGGTAATGATACAAAAGGTTTGCTAGGGTAGACCCTCTTTCACTCAGACTCAGCCCCCCCCCGAAACTCAGCCCCCCCGAAACCCCCCTGAAAAAAATTCAGCCCCCCCCCCGAAACGAAATCCTGGCTACGGGCCTGTCAAGAGTCTCTCCATAATAACATGAGATGTGTGTTGGGAAAGATTGATGGTTTTCAAACTTCTTTTTGCACTATTAGTGGAAATTACAATTTCCCCAACTTTTCTTCTTTGAGACTTGCTGGATCCCACTCCTTGATATTCACCCCAACAACTCTGTAACTTTCAATTACCTCATGAAGGGAACAGTTACTGTTTAATTAACTATTCATTTATTATTTCTATATTGTACTATCACCCAAGGCGCCTAAAATATGGATGTATGAGTATTGACTAGTTTTCTCATCCTTAACAAGAAAGGGTGTCTTAACACATCATGAAACTTTTGTTTTAATAGGTTTTTCTACAAAATCTGATTGGGTGTTGTTTTCTTTTGCGCAACTGTAACTTTAACAAAAAAAAGTTCAAAAAGGCCAACAAAAATATCAGAAATGCTTGAGCAATCCCATTATTTCTCCCAGTAGAAAGGCTTTTGGAATCTATGCACTCTATCCCACTGAGGAGGAGGGGGGCAACATCCTATTACCATGACATTATATCTTATAGCATTATAAAGAGGACATCCTTCCATTTCTCATTACTCTTCACAGTGTGCCTTTTCTTATCATTTTTATTGAAATTATCAGATTTATCTCATGAGCCAGTGTAGTCCATTTTTAAAAGAAAAAACCTTGGGGAAAAGCTTATGGGATACTTGATTTTCCCCTCTGTTCCTGCTATTCTAGAGTAGAGCTAAGTATGTCTTACATATGACACAACTCTAGGAAAAACCTGACCCCAGCATAGGGTTGGGGAGGGAGAAACAAATGAAGAAAATCAAACAAAATGGGAAAGTCAGTTTGTTCCAACCTGTGGCAAGTTGCGTTGATCTAAAACTTGCAGTAAGTGCCATCGTTCTTTTTTGCTGCTCCTTCTAAGACGGAATGTGGCTGTTAAGAAGTATTCCTCTGGAAGTCCATTTGGAAACACTTGCCTAAATAAATATGTGCAGAGGAATGTTGTCATTAATTTGAATGTGACCCATAATGCAAAAGAAGAAAACAAACATATGTTGAAATGCACGACACTCACGCATGGCCTTTTGGGTGTTCTTACAAACATACTATCTTCAAGAGACAATTTCATAGCTGTCTAGAGCACATTGCACTCCATTACAAATAGCCTTTGGATCCTCAAATATTCATATACAGTTGGCTGTCAGTATAAAACTGCTCACACCTTTTATTGTCCAACACAAACAATTATAAACTCACTGCATGGTTCAAATGTATGGTTCACATGATACACATTCCCAACTCTCAATGGAGAGCAAGATATATGCTATGGATATATGCTGGAAAAGACCATAGTGAATTTAACAAATCTTATTCAATTATGGGTATATGTAGAATTTCATTCACAAGCACTCAATTGGCAGAAAGGCAGAGTATAAATCAAATTGATCAATCATATAATTATAATGTACATCATAGTTTAATTTAAAACTTTTTTAAAACTAATGAAAGTACCCAACCGTTTGTTACCCACTACTATTTTTGTTCTTTTCTTCACTTTTAGAAAAAAAATGCAGGTGTTTCAATTAATCTATCTCAGAATTCACTCAACTTGCCCAAGCTTTATATAGTTAAGAAATCCTTTAGCTTGTCTACAACTATGTTTTTTCCCTTTCTCCTTGCTCTTTTTCTCTTTTCCTCCACTACCATTTTTCATTCTTGCTGGTCTCTCCATCTCTCCATGCTAGTTCTTTTTCAGCTTCCTTCTTCCAACTCTTGTCCACACTACACCTCTTACTCATATTCTATTTTCAAAATGGAAACAATAGCATGGACCCATATAAGGGTTAGAACTGAAAGAACTAATCAAGGAAAACTGCTTTGTTTTCCCCAGAAAGCTTGCAAAGATCTGGCTTGTTTTTTTCAAATGTGGACCTGAGGGCGTATTCTCTCTGAACACGTGCTTCCAAATGTTGAAATATTTTTTGTATTGTATTGTTTTTAAGCCAAGTAGCAGGGCAATTTTACTGTCCCCATCCAGAAGTGGACATAGTGCAATGGGGCTTGTTCTTAGGACCTCATCAGATCAAGGGTGGTCTTCATTTCTACACACCTCTGTGGATTGCCCATTGGATTCTGTCTCCATAGTATGTGGACATGGGGAGATTTTAAAGATGGGCAGAAATTGATTCCACTCATTTCCCCTTGCTTAGAAATGCTTAGAAACAGGTATTTTCCCATGGGGTGGGAATGGTGCATTTGCCTCTTTTCAGTTTGTTTTGTAATGTTTTGGTGTGGGTATGCATGTGGTTGTTTCATGGGCCTTGATGTTCTTTCTGCTGTTATTACTCTTTGGACATAGAAGAGGATTAATAAATAATTCCATCCTCTTTTTTGTTGCTTTAACTCTGATTTTTAAAAATACCAATGATATTTTATTCTATTTAAAAGTTTGTAGATTTGAAACTGTATTGAAATTATTTTAATGTAAGTCACTTTGAGTGTCTTTGTGGAGAGCGAAATGGGGTTTAATGAAACATCAATTAAAAACCTTCAAAATTCTGCGACTGCACCATTAAAAAACAACAACCCTGAAATGTGGGTGCTCTGTAGACAATGGAAGGAGACAACAGCCATCTCCTCCCATTCCATTGCCTGTGGAGTACCCATGTTGCAGCGTTTAAAAATGTTTGTTTGGAAAAATTGTGCAAATGCAGACTTTGAAAGATTTGAAATTACAACAAAAATGTTTTTAAAAAGAGGAAAGATGTTTGATGAGGAAAAAAGCACATGGTTTAACTAGAAATGGGCAAAGGGATATCCCATGTCATCTGTGTGAGTAAATTCTCCTTCTTTCAAGATAGCAAGTCATGGACTGTAAGAGGAAGAAGACTTTACCTCCTGCTTTCCCCCTTTATGTGATGAAGTTCTTAGATAAAATAGATATGGCATAGATTTCATCCTGCTGAATCCTTTCATATTGTAACTCAACAGTAATAGGTTCATTTTCTGTGATCCAGACAACATCAGCCTGCCTCAGGTCAGGATGATGATGTCTTTAGCGTGTCATTATATTCATTATTCTTTAAAATAATTTCTCAAGCTTTGACTTCATGGTTCAAAGTGCCTCAAAGGTACACCTAAAATGGGTACTGTCACCATTTCTTTCTTCTCTGATGATAGTCATTGGTAAACAAGAGAGGTATTTTCGGAAGACCTTAGAAACCTCATTAAAATACAAAACTAACTAGACCTGTTATCTGACACTGAAGGGAGTCTCATGGTTCTGGTTGTATGTCCTTTCCACCTCATACTGAATGTCCCATTATCATTGCCAACTCTATACCTTGAATTTTGTCCAACCATTCCACCTCAAAAGCTATCTAGCTTAAGTCATAGCTGTTAGAATGAGAAGGTCTGTCTGGAAAGTGACTGGAAATCCACTTCCTTGCCTTCAAAAACTGAAATTGCAGCTTCATTCTCTATGCTTTCTGTGAGTCTTAATTCATTGCATAAAAGCCCAGCAATTGGATACAAATATAAAGAGGGACAATTACTTTATGTGATGACTTTCACTCATCTGAGACTCACATTTGCACTGAGCCCAAATGTACATCAATGTTTGATATACACCAACATTGTACAGATGAAAAGTGAGACACACATGATCAAAGAACATTAGTGTGATCAAGAAGGAAAAACCTATTCATGAGAAAATACACAGAAGCTGGAAGAGGCTGCAGCAGTTTCCTTTTGTCTAAGCCTACTGGGAAGGGTAACATTCTGCCCTCTCTGATCCTCTCGACTTTATTGAGTTAACTGATTGCAATATACTTTGGCACTTTGAATTCAGTTTACAGTGAGTAAAGGACAAATGAGGGAGAAACAGAAAGACGAGGAATAAACTGGGACATTTTAAAAACGTCTGAAAAAGTAGGATGAGAATGGGAGTGCATATACATTGCAGAATTAATACTGTTTGATGCCACTTTAGTGGCCTCATCTCAATACTATGGGATCATGGGAGCTGGTGAGGGACCAGCACTCTTTGGTGAACAAGGCTAATACTTAATCTACCATGATTCAATAGCATCAAGTCATGGCAGTCAAAGTAGTCAATTAGTGTGTATAAGAATATGTAAATCTGCATGGATTTGGGCCCAAATCGTATGGCATAAACATTGATTCCTACCAAGGAAGGTACTTTCCACCACATGTGGTGGTCTTGCAAGGAAGCAAGAGGTTTCTGAAAGGAAATTCACGAATTATGTCAAAAAATACTGAAGGAAAAATTTCCAATGCACCCTGAATATTTTTTTATTAGGGATGCCAAACACAGATTGGAATATAAACAAAGACAAACTTTTTACATACGCAACCACAGAGGCAATATGTTCGCCTGAGTATGGAGACAAAAGGACATACCATCAAAAGAAGATTGGATAGAGAAAACGCTAGAGATTATGAGTATGTACAAGCTGACTTCACTGGTTTCCAAATCACAAGGCAGACATATTAAAACAACAGACTGGACTCCTTTCACAGAATGGCTGAAATAAAAGAAAATAAAAGTACTAATCTAAAAAGAAGAGAAGACTGAAGATATAATCACAGAGAAAGTAGAAAGCGGAAAAAGAATAAAGGACAATACCAAACTTTACAATTATAGAGAAGAATGGAAGTACAAATCCCCCCAACCCAATTGCCCCCTTGTTTTTCCTTTCTACTTTCCCATACTTAAATCCTTCAGATCTCCCCGACTCTAATCTATCCTTCCCCATTTCTCCCATAACTTACCCTAAATGTTACCTCCCCCCCCACTTTTTATGAAATTTGAACATATGAAAATCACAATGAAATATTTTTTTTAAAGAAATGTTCCTACCAAATTGGAACTGGGGAATAAAGATGTACGTAGACTGCTGTGCATATGATCTGCAAGTGCATTTCTGATCAGATGCATGGAAACCTAGACATATTATTTCCATAAAATGTTTAGAGGTTAGCACATGCAAGCCTTCCACACATGTCCCTAAAAAATGAACACTTAAAGAAACCCAAGCCTTGTTGCTCTCCTATAAGCAGTGAACCTTTCCAACTACCAGAAGGCTTTGGATGCTATTGATATAAAGAAAAGGCTATTCCAGATGTGGCAAAACAATGTATGGAGCTGCCTCTTTCCTCAGTCAGTTTGGAGGAGGACTCGTGAAATGTCCACTGAAGCCAAAAGCAGGAAGCTCACATTCTCAGTCATGTCTCCTGGCAGCAGTTCCTGCCTGTAACTTCTTTGCCATGGCCTGCAGTGAGGGGCTCTTATCTTTCACTGGGCAAATAACTGGGCAAACTGCCCATACGCAGAGCACATTTATGAGGAGACAGTAATGTTCAGATTAGTGCCACAGCCCAAGAGCTGTGCACACTGCCTAATCGCCATCTGATATTCTGGCCTTTTGCTGGCCATCTGCCCAGGGACAAATTTCACCCTAAGTGATCTCTGAATAAAAGTGGAAAGAATTGCCACTTTTAATTTAAGATAGCTAGCCATGTTTTCTAACAAATTGTTTATAAAGTCAGATCAGTATGAAATAGCAAGGAAGTTGCTTCTGATTCACTCCACATGTTCTGACAAACCAGCAATATTTAATATTGTCAATGGCAGTACCGTAGCCAGGATTTTGATTTGGGGGGGCGGGGGCGGGCTGGGGGGGGGGGGGGGCTGAGTCTGAATGAAAGAGGGTCTACCCTAGCAAACCTTTTGTATCATTACCCCAATACCCCCATGCATATGGGATATATTGAGTATGGTGATCAGATCATGATATGAATAAACATAACAGTTTAAATAATGCACCAGTAAGGCATTTTCGCGAACCACCATGAGAATTTGGGGGGGGGGGGGGCCTGAAGCTCCCCACCCCCCCCCCCCCCCGGCTTGGTCAATGGATACTTAGATGAACTATCTTATTAACTTTTCTAGTGT